TGAAATGCTCCCCAGTGTGTCCACCAAATTTGCCCAATATTCCAAGCAATACTGGTTCGGGAAGGTATTAGAACAATACTGACAGTGACGAATCGACAGACGATTCGATGACAATAATGTATTTTACCTCGGTCTTGAGCCAAACTGGTTACAGTCCACAGTCCTCTCGTGCACCTGCTGCGCCCTACGCTCGTGCATGCGCAAATGCTCTGCTGACCAGCTATCGTGCTATAGTACTGCTAGCGGGCTGAAAATCCTGCGAATCTCAAATGTGCAACCTGCTGCGTTCGACACTGGTGGCCTCGGGACCCAGAGAGCGCTGCACAACCTGTATGCTGCCAGACGCTCGGCGGCCGAACCATAGCGACGCATGTGTCGCTATGGGTCGGGGGAATTCGAAAATCTGCTTCTGTGACCCTAGCGGCCTGAGATTGAGACAGGACGAAGCGGCGCACCTTACAATGCAGAACTCGGGAGAAATCGGCCCCCTGGCCCCGCAGAGTCGGCAGCCAGACGTGTTAGCAGATTCGGGAAACATTCCGGAAATTATTTCCGAAAGGGTTCCGGAAATCGACAATCAGGAAAATGCACCCAGGGCCCACAGCTGCAAGCCACAATGGGAAGTTGACTACCCTGAATGAGAATACAATGACTAGCAAGCTCTAGCAGATGCAAACGCGCTTTTACTGTAAGGCTGAATTTGGTGCATGAGTACGGAATGACACAGGTGAAGGATATCATTTACAGAAGTGAGGGGAACACGCTTGGGGTAAGTTTCACGCCCATCGAGTGCGGCAGTGTCGCGGTGTATCCAAGTCCCCCGTGTAGGGAGCTCCGATTCGGCCTCTGGAGGCCCTTGCAGGGCCAAAAGAACTGCCAGCAGAACAACTCGGTCCCTGGGGAGGGGTCAAGGCCTCTGGGGAGCCACGAGGTGACAAAATCAGGGCGTCGGATGTCAGGGGATGGTGTCGTCGTCATCGAAGGGAGGGCGGAGGGAGGGAGGAGAACAGAGGACGCAAGAGCAGGGGGGGAGAAGCAGGAGTTGGAGGAAGAGGAGCATGAGCCAAGAGAGGTAATGCAGGAGACTGGGCAGATGCTGGGGGTCGAGGGAGGCAGCTGCTTCTGCTACGCCCACCTCTAGCAGCCCTCCTCCCTCTTCCTACCTTGCGCTCATACGCGGCAGTGATAGCACGACGCCAGACGGCACATGCAACCAGAACTCGTCAGCTCCAACTCTGCAAGCAAGGCACTCGGTGCGTCGCCCGTGCGCTTCACGAGCTGCCCTATGACTTCAGCGTGCCCCTGGGGCCACTGAGAAGCCGCAGTGCTCCGTGGAGCACCTGCTGGCAGGGGAGTCTCCCGCTCCATGCTCGCACATGAAGAGCGAGGAGGTAGAACGTGAAAGAGAGAGGGAGAGAGAGAAAGAAATATATATATATATAGATATAGAGAGAGAGAGAGAGAGAAAGAGAGAGAGAGAGAGAGGAGAGAGAGAGAGAGAGAGAGAGAGAGGGAGGGAGACAGAGAAACAAGTGAAGACACAGGCATCGGACGCGCGGGTCCGTCCGCCGCGGCCACGGGCGCCGCGCGCGGCCCCGTGCCTGCATGAGCAGCCGGGCGCATGAGCAGCTGCGGTCGAAACGCTGCCATGAGAAGCCCCAGAGTCTGGATCGAGGCCCCCATTCATTTCCATTCGTCGGGCGTCTTTTTTCCATGGGAAGCCTGGGGACACCCAAGACACACACTGTAGAACACGCTTCAGGAGCACTGAGCCCCTCCCCCGGCAGCGAGGGCTTGGGCGTGGCTTAATGGGGGGGGGTCAGAAGCGGTCCCCTTTCGTGCCCCTTTCGGGCCCCTCTGGAGCCCCAGAGGGCTCGTTTAGGTACAAATTGGATACCTTTTCGGACCACCCTCGCCACCCCACCATTTATGACCACCCCATTACGCAACGCCCAAAATGCTCCTTCTCCGGCGGCGCCGGCTGTGAAGCAGGCGCCCTCCGCCCTTCTGGCTTGCCGCCGACGACGGACGCATGGCAGAGCGGGTGGACGCGGCAGGCCACCACGGCGCGGCGCGCCGTGCAGCGGGCGGTCTCGCGCGGGGTGCGGCATCGCGCCCGTCGAGGGAACACCGGTGACGGGGCATCTCCCGGTGCAGGCTGGCCCCAACAAGAGAGAGAGAGAGAGAAAACGATAAGGATGGTGAGAAACAAGAGACAGAAAGGGAGAGAGAGAGAGAGAGAGAGAGAGAGAGCGAGAGAAAGAGACAGAGAGACAATACAACAAGCATGTAAACAACTTATGGGGAGAAACAGGGAAACAGAGAGAGAGAGAGAGAGAAGCGGGAGGATGAGGAGGAGGAGGAGAAGGAGGAGGAGGAGGAGGAGGAGGAGGAGGAGGACGACGCGAAAGAGCAGCATAGAGGGGGAGGACGAGCAGCAGCGGGAAGAACAGGCAAAGCAAGGGAGACACGGCACAAAGAGGACAAGAGAGGAACGAAGGGGGGGGGCGGAAGCAAAAGGATGAGGGACTGGGGCAATTCCTCCTGCCAGTCCCCCGCCCCCCCCAGCAGTCCTCCCCCCTCCTCCGGTCCACCCCTTTCCCCCTCCCTCCTCCTGTCCCTGTCCAGCCACTTCCACCTCCCTCCTCCGCCCCACTCTCCATATCCCCCCTCCCTCGCCCTCGCCCCCTCCTCCTCCGTCTGCTTTCTGCTCCCTCCATCTCCCTCCGTCCCTCCCCTCCTCCCCAGACATCAGACATTTGGCGTCTTGCTCTTTTCGAGGCACGAGCCCCGACCTCTGGACCACTTCCTGGGGACCGGTTTTTCATCAGGAGTCGTTTTTCTTTTACGGCCCCGAGGCCCAGTCGTTCAGGGCCCCGAGAGGCCGAAAAACTATGGACCAAAACCTCCGCCTCGATTTTTGTCGAGACGTCAGGGTGTCTGGGCCCCTCCCTCCCTTCTCACCACACCCCTCGTGCTCCCTCCTCCTTGGTGCTCCCGTAGCCCTCCCTCGAACGTCCCTCCTCCCTCCCTCCTCCTGCCTCCGTCCCTCCTCCCCCCCCCTCCTCCGTGGTCGTCGTCATCCTTCCCCCACGTCCTCCCGCCAGAAGCAGTCCCAGGACCCCCCCTGGCCTCCTTGGAATCGATGGGGAGGAGGACGAGGATCGAGGATCGACACCAGGAATCGAGCATCGAGATCGAGGCTCGAGGCTCGAGGACCGAGGGTCGAGAATAGAGGAGCGAGGATCGTGCATAGAGGATCGAGGATCGAGGATCGAGGGCCGAGATCCTGGGAGATCGAAGGTCGAGGATCGACATTGTGTGGTGACTGTGAGGACGACGACGACGGCGGCGACGACGACGACGACGACGACGACGACGACGACGACGAGGACGAGGACGAGGACGAGGACGAGGACGAGACGACGACGACGACGAGGCCTCGGGAGGGCTCTCCGGGGCCTCCCGCCCTGCGGGGCGCAAGGCCGGGACAAAGCAAAGGGGCGGTGACGCCTGGGGACCGGGGTGTGGTCCGCGTGCCGCGCGCGAAGTGTGGTGGGCAACGACCGGGGGCGCGACATGGTGAGCAAAAGCTCTTAACAATAAACACGGAGGAAGGATAACACGTAACATCATTATAGCGGCGATGCCGGAAAAGGCAACCAGGGGACCGGGAAGTGGTCCGCGTGCCGCGCCGAAGTACGGTGGGCAACGACCGGGGGCGCGATATGCTGAGCAAAAGCTCTTAACCGTGGCCTCCAGAAGGCCTTAAGAAAGCCCGACACAACTTTTGTAAGGCCCCTGGAGGCTCTCCAAGGAGGAGCCTCCGCAAAAAAGAGCTGAGGAGGATAGGGAGAATGCGCAGGGTATGGCGAACATAAGGAACAATAAGCATGGAGGAAGGATCACGAATAACATCCTTGTAGCGGCGATGCCGGAAAAGGCAACCAAGAGTTATCGCTAAATTGTCAGCTTGACCTTCCTGCCATTCCGCCTGCATACCAAACTTCAAGGACCAAGGTGCATGGTGCGAAGCGCCACTGCAGTCTTGTGTGTATATATATAGATGTGGGTGTGTGTGTGTGCGTGTGTGCGCACATGTGTGCACATCTCGTGCATGTGTGCGCGGGCCCAAACTCTCGACGTCGGCGCTTCGCCCAGGCGACAACGGGGAGCACAAAGGGTTTCGATGCCCCTCTGGGGCCCCAGGTCTGGTCGAAATCGGCGCGCCACCCCAAAACGCCGACGCGCGGCATCTCCAGTTTGATTCACATCGGCCAAAATGTCGGCCCGCGCCCACAAACTCGTCGTCCATCTTCTCCGTTTCCTCGCCTGCAACCCCTTGGACGCCTGAAATGGGTACAGAAAACATGGGTACGATACCGAAGCACACAGATCGTCCCAGACTGGCAGCGGCCGCTGTTTGGCAGGCTTGTCTCTCAAATGCGCAACGTCCGCGGCGACGCCGACAATGAATCCTGTTCAAAATGCATCAGGATTGCGGTCGGTCGTAGAAAGCAACGGCCATGCATCTATAGACAGGGCCCGCGCCTTCTGAGCAGGGGTGCCTCTAAGAAGCCTTCACTCCTCCCCTTACGTTCAATCCATATAACCAGGACGCGCGATATTGATGCTAGGGCCTGAGAAGGCCATGTCGACACGCTGCAGACGGGGCGCGGCCAGCCAAAGCGGCCAAGCATGGGCCGGAGGGGGAGGGATGCGCGGGTAACCTTGGAAAGTTGCTCACCCTTACTGTGGTGGTTGACTGCAGTAGGAGTAGAGGTGGGGTGAACCATCGCTCCAATGCCCCCCCTAAAAAGACGCGAAGATCGGGACAAAATCGGATCGGGATAACTCGAAGTCTCTGAGAATCGGCGGGTTTGGAGGATGTATTGGGCGCCGCGGCCGCTCCAGAGCGTTCTGGAACGCTCTGAGAGCGCTCGGGAACGCTCTGGAGCGATTTATCCCGATCCTAGCCCTGTTTTATCCCCCCCAGGGGCTCTCCAGCTTCTTCTTCCTGTTCTTCTTCTTCTTCTGCTTGGCCGGCTCCTGGAACACCTCGCTTCTGCGCCCGAGCGCCGGGCGCCGGGCGCCGGGCTGGGGGGGGGGCAGCCGGCGGGAGAAGGAGAGGGTCGAGGACTGGAGAATTGGAGGAGAATGCTCTGGAGACGCTGCCTGAGCACGTGGAGTCGGGGCGTTGACCCAAGGAACCCTAAATAAGGAGCGGGGCCCCTTTTTCCCATAGGTTCAACTTCGATTTCCCTTCGAAAGCCTCAGGGAAACGTGGGGCAAGCTGCGAAACAATCAAAGAACACGGAGCCCCTCCCCAACGAAAAGGGTTCCTTCTTCAGGGCCCCGACTGTACAGCGAGCTCGTAGAACAAGGGCGCAGGATAAGGATGCAAGGGCGTTGGAAGGCCATGCCGACACTCTGAGGGCGGGGCGCAGCCAGCGAGAACGGCCAAGGACGGGCCGAAAGGGAAGGATGCACGAGTGACCGTGGAAAGCCGCTCAGCCTTCCTGTGCAGGTCGACTGTGGCGATGGGGATCCACCGCCGCCGCAAACTCACTGTGGGCTGCCTGTCGACCCCTGGGCTGGGGGAGGAGGAGTATAGGGGGGGATTGGGAGGAGGGGGAGCGGAAATGGGACTGGGAATGGTGAGCTCGCCAAGCGAAGAACATTGATTCAGGTGGGATGCGGCCTCTGGCTCGTTGCTCCGAGGACGTTAGAAACTCCGGCCAAAGCACAGCACTCATCCTGTTTCGATTGGGAAGGAGGAAGAGGGAGGAAACGGAGGGAGGTGGAAGCGGAGAGGGGAGTAGGAGTTCGATAAGCAAGAGGAGGGGGGAGCGCAGAGGGGATGGGGGTGGAAATGAAGGAAGGAGATGGAGAAGGAGTTCGAGAAAGGAGGGACAGAGGAGATAGGAGGGTGGGAGGGAGGGAGGAGGAGGAAGGAATGGGGGAGAAGGGCGCGGGTGGGGAACAAAGGGAGGACAAGGTAAAGAGGAGGAAGAGGAGGAGGGAAGGAAAGACACGGCATTTGCCTACTCCCTACTCTCCCTCCTCCTTCCTCGTCTGTTGACCCTCCGCCCCCTCCCTCCCTCCTCCCTCCCTCCTCCCTCCTCCTCTCTCCTACTCCTCCGTTCTCCTTCTTCCTCCATGACCCCTCATCTCCTCCTGTTCCTCCTTCTCCGCCTGCCCCTCCTCCTCATCATGGCTCCTCCTGACCTCCTCGTCCTCGCCATTCCCCAGCTAGACTTGCCCTAACTTTATCTATTCATTTGTGTGAAAGGAGCCGGTGAGCGCTAAACCCCAATGCAGAGGCGGCACTCGGTGTTCCTCGGGTTCCTCGGTCTTGGGTTCCTCGGGCCTTCCTCGGGTTCCTCAGTCTGTGGTTCCTCGGGCCTTCCTCGGGCTCCTGGGTCTTGGTTTGCTATGCCAGGCAAGCAATGCCACACAAAACCAGCCACTGCTAGGCAATACGTTTGCAAGCGAAGCAATGGCAAGCAAGGCAAAGCAACGATTCCAAGCAATTCCACGCACTGCTTTGAAATGCGCTGCGGCTCTAGAAGACAAAAGACGTAATAATCCAAAATAGGGTGGGGAGGAATTTGGCTGCTTCTGCCCCTGCCCTTCACACAGGGGCAGGACAACCAAGACCAAGGATGTGTAAAAGGGCAGCAGAGAACCAGAGAGAGAGAGAGAGAGAGTGGGCAAGAGAGCAGAGAGAAAGAGAGAAAGAGAGCGTGCAAGAGAGAGAGAGAGAGAGAGCGCGGGAGAGAGAAAGAGCGGCAGGGAGAGAGAGAGAGAGAGAGAGGGAGGGAAAGAGGGAGAGAAAGAACAAGAGAGACACAGAGAGCGACAGGAAGAGAGATAGAGAGAAAGAGTGAGATAACGAAACCAAGCGCGAGATAGAGAGAGAGAGAGAGACACGGAGAGAGAGGGAGAGAGACAGAGAGAGAGAGAGACAGTTCTTCTTCTCCTCCTCCTCCTCCTCCTCCTCCTCCTCCTCCTCCTCCCACTCCTTGTCTCTGCGCCCTCGGGCCCTGGAGAGGGGGTGCACATGCCAGGGGCCCACAGAGCTGGAGAGCACCACGACGTCGGCTGTCTGGCTGCCCGGCCCCTGCGCACGACCCTGCCCGGGCCTCGCTGGCCCCGCGCGCTGCCAACGCCGGTGGCCGCCGCTGGCCTGGACTACCCTTCTAGGTCGGGCCTGTCCCCCATACAGGGGGATTGTCGACGAAGAGTAACAAATACCCCCAACAAATACCCCCCAATGGGGAAACAATACTCCAAAGAAGTCCCCAAAACATACCCCCCCCAAAAAAACTCCAAAAATGTTCAAACCTTGTCAATCAATAGTCCCCCGACTATGTTCTGGCTGTTCTTGAAGATATTCCCTCTGTAAAAGGACAGGCCCGACGTAGGACTGCCCCGCGACAGGTCCCGCCAGCCCCTGCCTGGCCGCGTCCGCCCCACAGAGCCTGCCAGGCTCCGGTTCTCGGGCCGGTGCTTAAGTGCTGGTCTTACCAGCCTGGAAAATATGCCTATCCCTATGTTGGGCATCGCCTCGTCACGATGGCGATCTTTTTGGGACTTCCTCAGTTTCTGAGGGAAGATCCCTAAGATTGTCATCTCCTTTTCGCGTGTCAATCCTAGGGACAGGGATACGTTCGAGGCTGGTGACGGTCGGGGAACCTCCACTCGAGGCCGAGGCTCTCCGTGGCCAGGAGCGCCCCGGGGCCTCCGGCGCGGCGCTCTGCTCCGCGGTGTCGCGGGGGAGGCCATCACCGTGCCCGCAGAGCCGACTGCAGCCACGTGCAGCGACTGGCCCGTTCCCGGCATGCCAGCTCCTCTCCTCGCTATCGCTCGGACGTCCATTCCCCGTGCATTTTTCGATTTCGCTCGTGCATTTTTCGCCAAATGACCAACAATGCTCCTCAATGGTCCACGCCGAGAAAAGGTGCACACGTCCGAGCGACGCCAAGTCTCCTGGACGTCCGAGCGGCCTGCCACGAGACCCCGACGGGCTGCCAACATGCCCGCATGAGACCCAGAACAGGCACCCAAGAGGCACCCACAGATCCCCAAGAGGCCGACCAAGGGACCGCGAGAGGCCTCTTCTACACGACACATGCACGAGGGCGGTTTGGACCGATGGGCACTGGACGCTAGATACATGGAAGGGACTCCGTGAACAATACATGCGAGCGCAACTGCATACTGTTCTACCTGCGTCCAGAGAGGCAGATTGATGGACGCTCTGACGGACAGACGAGTACTTGCAGGCATAACGACGGACAGGCAGGCAGACGGGTAGGCGAGCAGACAGGCGGGAAGGCATGAACGCAGACAAGCAAACACCGACACACACAAGCACACGCATGGGACATGTACGGCAGGTTCGTGTCGTGCCGACCCCAGCGTTGGTTTTTGACACCGCAGGGATCGTTCAACCTTGAACGATCGGCCGTTTCCGCAACGTCCAATCGTTCAACGTCGATCGATTCTGGGTCGCCGGCGGCGTTCAACCTTGAACGCCCACGCTGGGGTCGCCGCTGGTCGACACGACGCAAACCTACCGTAGCGCAGTCCCAGTCAACTTACCGGACTGGATGAGGACGGAACGCATCCCGCGACGATCGCCTTCTGGCAGCGTGCTCCCCGACGGACTCTTCGGGAGTCGTTGCGCAAGCAGGCCCTGCGAGACCCTGCTGCTCTGAGCAGATACGCCGAGCAACTGCCTGAAGGTAACCTTTGGGAGGCCTCGGGAGGCTCGTAGCCTGCGGACCGTCTTGCGCGGTCTTGAAATCTTCTGGGCGTCAGGAGGGCCCCTCGGACTGTCTCGGAGGTGTTTGGGAGGCCCTCTGGAAACCCTCGGAACCCCTGGGTCCCTTGGAAACCCTGGCGTGGGGCAACTAAGACCATCCAAGGACTGCCAAGCTCAGTCGAAGCCGTATCGGGCGCGACCTTGGGAATCCCTCAGTTCGTTAGGGGCGCATGCGAACCCTACCCCTACCCCCCAGGATTTCGGAGTGGGAGGGTGGGGTTCACTTCGCTCGGGAGCTCCCTAGCGAACTGAACCCCACCCTCCCCCTCAGAAGTCGTGGGGGGCAGGGGGTCGGGTTCGCATGCGGCCCCCTATTCGTACTATAGGAGGCCTGGAAATGGGCACCAACACCAACACAGGGTGTTGCCTCCACTGTGTGAAGATGATCCTGGATTTCGGTGTTGGTGGTAATATTTCGGCTACCTTGGCAGCCAGAATATTACCACCATCACCGGGATCGGGATCTTCTCCCCCAGGTGGAAGCAAACCGCCGATATTGGTGTTGGTGTCAATCTCTAGGCCTGCGATACTATGTGTTGCTGAGAAGCGTTAAGCTGCTGCGCCGCATGCGGCACCGGGCAAACGACGCAGCTCACTGTTTCTAATCGAGGAGGCGTCCGGCACGACCTCGCGCCAGAAGGCATGCGTGCAGGGCGACTCCCCCACCCTCCTCCTCCTCCTCCTCCTCCTCCTCCTCCTGCTCCTGCTCCCCCTGCTCCCCCTCCTCCTCCTCCTCCTCCTCCTCCTCCTCCTCCTCCTCCTCCTCCTCCTCCTCCTCCCTCTCCTCCTCCCTCTCCTCCTCCTCCTCCTCCTCCTCCTCCTCCTCCTCCTCCCCTCCTCCTCCTCCTCCTCCTCCTCCTCCTCCTCCTCCTCCTCCTCCTCCTCCTCCCTCTCCTCCTCCTCCTCCTCCTCCTCCTCCTCCTCCTCCTCCTCCTCCTCCTCCTCCTCCTCCTCCTCCTCCTCCTCCTCCTCCTCCTCCTCCTCCTCCTCCCTCTCCTCCTGCCACTCCTCCCACCCCCCTTTTACTCGGAAGCGACGCTCGGGGCGAATCGCCGAGGGGCGGGCAGCACAACCATTCGTCGGGGAGCCTCGCCGAAGACATGGAACCTCCGCGCCCCTGGGTACGCGTCCAGGTGGGCCTCAGGAAGGCGCGCAAGGCAACCACGCTGAGGACCCAGGGCAGCCTGTAAGGACGCCCGAGAACTCCTTCACGGCCTGGGGAAACCATGCTGGGAGTCTCTTCGGATGCCTTCCTGGGACGCTCTTGGAGGGATCTGAGTTGTTTCACGGGGTGGTGTCTCTTCGGATGTTGGTGGGGTCCCCTGGTGGCCCCGAAGGCCTTCTTGGGCGCGCCTCGGGGGCCTCCCCGGGGCTTTTGGCGTCTGGGCTCGAAACGTCGACTGTGCTCGGCCATGGAAAAAACATTTGAGGGAGTGCCCGCCTTTTCTCAAGCTGGGCTTCCTACCGCTCAGTGGGGCAAGATGCTGGGTGAGGGCGGCGGAAATAAGAAGGAGTAAAGGGGGGGATGAGGATGAGGGAGGGGAGAAGCGGGAACGCATGAGGGAGGAGAAGAGAGGAAGGCATGAAGGAGAAACGAGGAAGAGGGAGGAGGGAAAACAACGCAATTGGGAGGAGTGGGGAGGAGAGGCAGGAGAAAGAAGTGGAACGGGAGACGGAGGAGAACCAAAAACAACGGGGAGAACAAACAGAACGGACAGCGAGGGATGGGGGAAACGGAAACGCACTGTGGGGCACTCCGAGGCCTGGGACAGGAGGGAACGGAGGGGAATGTGCGAGTTTGAAAGAAAAAGGGATTTGACGAGATTCCCTTTGTTGTTCAAGTTGGCTCTGGAGGCCTCCACGAACACCTAAACTTATCCCAAGAGGCCTCCACAAGTCCTCCAAGGGCTCTGGGGGAGCCCTTAAGAGGCCAACATCATTGCAAACAAACGCGGACACATTATTATCTCTATATATGTTCTTGCGCTTCCGCCCCGCTCCCGCGGCTTGCACATGCACCCCGATAGAGTTCCGAGATGCCCCCGATAGGCGTTCCGAGCGGCTCTCGGGGCCTCTTGGGGCCTCTTGAGGGCATTCGGAGTTTTCGAGGGCCTCTCGGGGCGTCTTCGACGCTGGGTACCTCTGGGGCGGGCTTTAGGAGCTCGTTGGGGCTTGCTCGGAGCGTCTTTGGGACCTCGGCGGTGCCTCTTCGGGCGTCATGGGAAGCCTCTTGTGGCCTCTTGGGGCCTCTTCGCGCCTCTTGGGGGCCTCTTGGAGCTCTCTTGGGGGGCTTGCGCGAGACTCGGAAGTGTGTCAGAGGCGGAAGCGCGAGAACACAGAAAACCATTGATCCCCATGCTTTGTTTCCAACCGTTGTGACAAATTCAAGGCCTCCCCGGAGCTCTTGGAGAACTCTTGGAAGCCTCGTTGGGAGATCTTGAATGCTCTTGGGGGCTTCCAAAGCTGTCGGGGGGCCGGCTTGGACAGCCTTGGAGCACTCTTGGGCTGTCTCGGGGGCATCCTGGGCCGTGTTCAAGCTCTCAAGGGGCTCTCTTGGACGCCTGGGAGGGTGATACAAGGGATTTCTCGGGAATGGTAGCGGAGTGGGCGGAGCCCCGGGGAGGGGCGTATTTGATTATTTTCGTTGTCAAGATATCGAAATATATGCATAAATGAATAACACCAAAAGCACATATGGTCTGGATCTCCACTGCCCTCTTTAAACGCATCGGCCAGGTGCAGTCATGGTACGCTGCGCTGCTTGCAAAGTAGAGTCCTCGACTTCTGCTTCTGCTTCTGCAGCAGCTTCTGCCGCCTCTACGACCACAACCGACAACACCAACGTTGTTAAAGCAGGGCGGAATGGGTAAGCAACCAACACCAACTCACGACACCCAATCACCGTGCCATCATTTATGTTGGTTGCCTGCATTGTCAAAACTAAGGATCCTTTCTCTCTCTCTCTCTCTCTCTCTCGCTCTCCCAATCTCTCTCTCTCTCTCTATTCCCCGCTCCGAGCTGCCGAATGAAAAGAGCACAGAGACTTGTACGCTATTGACTTGGCCAAGCCAATCATCGCAACAAGCTGCTGAACGGGCCGCGGCCACGTTTGCGGTGACAGGGTCTGGTGGGCACCGCCATCTCGGCTAGATGGACAGAAGCTGTCGATCAAACAAACCTAAACATACAGCGAAGCGTGAATATATCGAGCACTGCAGCATCCAACGAATGATTGCAACAACAAGTGAAACACACGGGCGGCATTAGTGACTGCATATCGTTCTATGGAATGCACTCACGGGTATTCTCCTGCACACAGAGATGCACAATACATGGCACGGGAAACCACATTTCGCACACGCGGGAGCTGCCCGATCACTGACACTAGAACAAGTGCACGTCCAGAACTGCACAGGAAACATGGTAGATGCGCACCAGCAACCTGGAACGCAAATGCTGAACAGGACAAACCACAGGCGCAGCGCAGCACTGCAGAGCGAGTCGAGGTAGCGAGGGAGACGCCCGCGGCTCCTCCACCACCGCCAAAAGGTCTTCCGCACTGGGCTCGGGTTCCTCGCCCCACTCCCGACAGATGAACAGGCGAGAGGCGCTGGCCAACGGAGCTGGTGCAGTGGCAGAGGCATCGGCGCACGCAGACGCACAGGACCTTCGAGACATCAATCCTTCGTGGGCCAGTGAGGCGGCGCATCCTCTCGGGGTGCACCCAGCCGCCCCCGGGAGACTTCCTTCCACGAAGGGCCTCGCCTTCGAGGGGCAAGCCGGGGCGGTGGCACGTCTTCCGCGGCGGACGGGCGGCGGAAGGGCGGCGGAGGCCGGCGGGGCGAAGACGAGGGCGGCTCCGCAGGCGCAAGGCGCCCCCCGGAAGCTGGCGGACGTAAGCTTCTGCCCTTCGAGAGATGACAGCTCTACGGGCATGCAGAGATAGCTATATGTATATATATATAAATATATATATATATATATATATATATATATACACAAAGTTTGAGATATAATTGAGGAAAGAGAAGTATGCACATGCGCCGATTCTGGCCAGGCCCATCCTGGGCCCAGGATCGGTGCGTGCGACCGCCTGCCTTGGCCAGGGAAGCCTACGCACCGATCCTGGGCCCAGGATAGTAGGCCTGGCCAGGATCGGTGCATGCGCATACTTCTCTTCGCCCGACATGGGTGTCTTGTGGGCGGGTGAAGCGGCGCAACCTCGCGGCTTGCACAGGCAAGGACACCAATCTCATGGGGGCTCGTGGAATGGCGCAGCCGCTCCGAGACTATCCGACGGCCCCCCCGGCCCGAGGCCGAACAGTTGGAAAAGTATCCGCCTCGATGTGCAAAGTCACGCCGTGGCGACGGAGACACACTGAAGGGGCCCTGGGACACACAAATAAATACACACACACACACATAAAAGGATTCCCCATATTTTCCCATATGTTCTGGGTTTCTGTCTTCCCCACCACTTCCTTTATTTTCCGGTATTTTCCAAGGAATAGACGATTCATTGTGTCTGTGTGCTTCTTTCCCTCCTGACACATATTGATATTCGAATCTCGCCGGGTCCACGTCCGCGCAGGGGGTCTTTTGGCTCAGAGGTCTGGCGCGTTCGGAGAAAAAACTTGCAGGGCACCTCCGAGTCTGAAGTGCACGTCGTCTATTCCGAATCGTGCTCCTTTCTAATTCTGCTCGCTCCTGACTGTTCCTGGCCCCCCCCGTGGCCCGGAAGAGGCCACGGATAGAACAGTTAGAAATGAAAGGACCTGGCCCCCCCCAAAAAGCAAAGACCCTTCGAAGACTTAGATAGGAACAGTGTGTAACTGGCCATCGCTGGGACGTCCATTCCCTGTCTTTGCTTCGGCTTCGTGCGTGGCTTGTTCGCCAAATGATCAAGGATGCTCCTCGATGGGCCTCGCCGAAGGAGTAATGCACACGTCCGAGCGATGCCAAGGGAAGGGCTGTCGGTCCTCCGTCCGCGCGGCCTGCGCCGCGTCGCCCCTGGAGGAAGCCCCAGGGCCCGAGGGCGCCCGCGGCTTCTCCCCCCGCCGCCCAGGAGACCAAGACGCCCCCCCCTCTGCGCCATGAAGCACGTGGCGGAACCTGTTGGCCAATGCTCGAGCCTCTGTCGGGCGGGTGGTAGGAGGAGGAGGGGGAGGAGGGGGAGGGGGAGGAGGAGGAGGAGGAGGAGAAGGAGGACGAGGAGGAGGAGGAGGAGGACGAGGAGAAGAGAGGACGAGGAGGAGGACGAGGAGGAGGAGGAGGAGGAGGAGGAGGAGGGGGGGGAGGAGGAGGGGGAGGGGGAGGAGGAGGAGGAGGATGAGGATGAGGAGGAGGACTTACTGGGGGGGGAGGGGGGACCAAAGAGGGGGATGAAGGAGAGGACCCCAGAGCGGCACTGCGGGGCCCGTGCTTGCAGATCTGGCTCAGAGCAAGCCTGAGCATAGAGAAGCTCGGAGTCATCGAGGGAGCCAACCTCTGGAGCAGCAAATCTGGAGTTTCCTGATTACGAGGCCATCTCGAGTGATGATTCCGACGAAGATAGTATGCTCAGCTTGGAGGGCCCTTATCAGTGCAGATCTGGTTCTGAGCAAGCCTGAGCATAGAACTTCGAGGGTGCAAGCAGTGTGAGCGAGGTGCTTTGCAGGGCCCGTCCATATGTGTACTGCCGTGGCCATTTTGGCTCAAGCGCCCCCTCGCTTGCGCTTAGAGGCGCGGAGAAACAAGGAAGCTCGATGGGACGAGCTTGAGCTCTTGGAGTTCAGGAGAAATCGAGGAGATAGATACCACTGCGCGATTCCGCCTATCACTTGCATGGTCGCGGAGCTTCGTGGTCGACACGAAGTTCCACGATGAGTGAAGATCATCGAGGAAAAGTGCCAAGCTGGGACGGAGATCCAACGACTTGGCGGACATACAGGCGGAAGGCCCCCCAGTACCAGGAGGGCACCAAACGAGAAGAGCGGTACCCGTGCGGCCCGAGGCTCGAGGCGTAGCTCACGGGCCGGGCCGAGGTGGCGGCGGAGCGCTGCAAGCCCGGGTGGCTATCACGGGCTGACGGCGTAGAGAGGCTCCTGGCATGGCTCGAGCGACGTTGCTCACGCCAGGCCGTCCTGGACGCGGGCCAGGAGCTGGAGACGTTCTTGATCGAGACGAAACGCCGGAAGCTGGAGCCCATGCAGCAGTGGGCCGACCGCTTCGAGACAAGCTACCAGTACCTGAGGCGCGCACTGGCGCGCGCACTGGGGCATGCAGTCCCAGTCCAGAGCTCGCCGTCAGGAAGGAAGACGGAGAGACAATTCAGATGGATCCAGGTCGGGAGGGGATGGCCATGGGATGGATTATAATGGACATGGGAGTACACCGACGGCCTGCCTGACGACGCGACTGAGACATCCCACCACTGGAGTGCTGCCGACCCCGACGCTGAGGCCGAGGAGGAGCTCGGGAGCATGCCTGAGGTCTTCCCAGCGAGCGTCCTCGGCTGGCTGATGCTGGTGCGATCTGGCCTCGACTCCCGCGAGCGCGCGGCGATCGTGACCGCGACGGGGGGCTCGCTGGACGTCAACCTGATTCGCGAGAAGCTGATCTCGAGCTGGGAGGACGACGACTTGGCGGAGAGAGATGGACACTCCAAGTTCCCGAGGGCGTACGCGGCCCAGCTCGGGGATGACGATCGAACATGGCTAGAAGGTGCAGAGGACGAACCAGACGCAGGCAGTTTCGCGGCTGACCGAGAGCATCCAGAGCCACGCGAGGATGAGCCAGACCAGGTAGAGGCAAACGACGAGGACATCGAGGCGCACCTGGCCGCGCAGTACGAACAGGCGGAGGCGTTAGCGGCGATCCACACTGCTCAGCGCACCCTCCGCCAAGCCCGCGAGGCGCAGGCGGACAGTCGCCTGAGCAGGGGCTTCTACCGTGGAGGTCGGCCTGAAGGCAAGGGAGCTGGCCGTGGATTCCCAGCGGGATCACGTCGGCCGATGCCTCCCCAGAACGGCGCCCGGGGCGAAGGATTGCAAAAAAAACGAAGGATTGCAAAAAAAACGAAGGATTGCAAAAAAAAAAAAGGATTGCAACAAAACGAAGGATTGCAATCCTTCGGTCTTGCCGCCGAACAAGGGCCAGAAGAAGTGCGCGAAGTGTGGCGGCGCCCACTGGGTGCAGGACTGCCAGGACCGCCACGACCCCCGGCTCAAGCCAGGGGCGACGGGCCCGCCAGAGGCCAGCGTCGATGGTTGCCGAGCAGGAGTCTGGGGACCCGAGATGCGAGGCGATGCTCGCGGACCAGAAGATCCGAGAGGGCAAAGGGGTTGTCCCGCAAGAACATGGAGAAAGACGGCGACACGAGGCTGCGGGAGTTGAAGCGGGACTACCAGCTGGTCTACAGCTTCGGGACAGGCGAGAAGGAGCGCGCCTACGGCCAGGTGAAGTTCGGCATCACCGGCGGGGGAATGGAGGGCGACGTCGCCATCAACGGCTTCGCGAAGGACGTCCCGATCCTCGTGTCCAAGAAGGTGCTGAAGAAACCTGGAGCCGTCGTTGACTGTTACACAAGAGTCGAGGTGTTCGTGAAGCTGGCCCCGGGGGTTCCGGTCCAGCTAGAGGAGTCATCGGACGGCGGGCACTACTATATCAGCCTGGTGGACGACCTGCTCGAGCAGAGGGTCCAGGACCTGGCCAAGCTGCAGAATTTCAAGATGATCTGCAACCACCTCTCTGAGTGGAGCACGGCGTGCGTGGCGGCGTGCCAGGGCTCAGACCTCGGCCCAGACGGGTGCGCAGAGCGAGTCGAGTCATGCATGGATCGATCTTCATCTGCTCCTCTCGGCGACGTCACCCCCAACTCTCCCCAGGACGGTTTTCGAAACACACAGGAAGAGCACGGGCACATCCGCAGCAGTTCAGGCTCGAGTCCGGCGAGGCCTTCCGCGTCGAACGCGAACGTTCACGTGCAGCAGCCAGAAGTTCCTGATCCTGCGGATCCTACATATTCCAGGCCAGAGGCCGTCGATGGCAGAGCGATGCGCTGGGGCAGCCTCCTCTGCGGGGCCGTGCCGCTCGCCTGCGTCGGGGCGGTCTGCCGGTGCGGCTCGGGCGTGCAGGATGCCAACGCCACGCAGTGCGGTGCAGGGGCTCCACAAGGCGGAGGTATCGCAACTACTCCAGGAGTTTGGCCTGCCCTACAGTGCGGCCTGGAGCGTGGACGAGCTGAAGCAGGTCCTCAAGGAGAACATGTTCCCGAAGGCGGAGACGGCCGCGCAGATCGAGATGAGGGGCCTCAACTCCGTGAAGAAGGCTCAGCTGCTCGCGAAGGCGACGTAGGTCGGAACCCACGCGACGCCGGGCATGACCACTTCTTCGCTCAAACTCTCGATCCGCAAGGCGATTCTCCAGATGCATGCGCCGGAGCCGACCGACCACATGGGCTTCGGGCAGTACGGAGCCCTGACGTACCAACAGGTCCTGAATCAGTACCGCACCTACGCGGCCTGGTGTCAGGCAGAAGAGATCACCGAGAGCAGCTGGGAGCTGGCCAGGTTTGTCTCATGGCTCAACGAGCA